GCACTTAACCACTAAGCCACGGGGCCGGCCCACAAAGTATATTTCTAATAAATCAGACAAAAATTTGTTTAAGCTGAGAGCTGCTCATCAAATCTTTATTAATACTTTATAAGCTTCTCAGAGCCATATAGCTCTTAAAACAATTTATCACTCTAGGTTCAGTGATACATTAGAATACGTGGATCTTGCTTTTCTCTTCATTAAAATTGTAGATCCTATCTTGCTTTTCACTCATACTAGGAGTTTTCACATTATATTCCTATTCACATTACAGGCTAATTAAAACATCAAAATCATTACACTGTGTTTCTTACCTATTGAGCAAGAAATGGTATGTTAAGTCTCTAAAGCCTAATGAGTATCTGCAAATTTTTCTTAAAGAAATGTCCTTGCAGATATATTTACCCAGTAGTCTTCAAGGCTCTACTGCAGGAGTGGACAGAGAAAAAAGAGCAAGACCTCTAGAATCAAATAGCCTGGGGTTTGAACCCTGGCTCCCCACTAACTCACTGTGGGCAAGTTACACGTCCTTTCTGTACCTTCGTTTCCCTATCTTTAAAATGGGGGATAAAAGAATACCCACCTCAGAATTATGAGGAATAAAAGAGCTAATCCGTATAAGCCATTTAGAAAGGTACCCAACACAGAGTAAGCATTCAATATTACCTTTGTTATATATAGTCTAGGTAATTTTAAGAAATTGTATAATAGTTATTAAAACTTTATTGATAACATGGAACTTTTTTCTTTCATGAAATAACTTGCCTGTTAGGCACAAGCATGATAGAGTCTAAGACCTACCTGCATTGCTGCATCACCGATTGCACGTCGAATTTCCCTCAGAGTTTGGTATCGCTCCAACAAGTGGTCACCACAGATAATATCGACCTGCAGGCAAATGAGAGTTATCAGACTGCTTTCCTGCTTCAAAAAACCATAAGAAAAAATTTAGAAAAATCAACATAACTATTTCCAGACTAGACTTTGTTATTTTATTTTAGACTGATTAAACACTCTCAAGAAAGATTTTAGAAACTTGTTTACAAAAGTAAACAAAGTAAAATGGAAAGAGCATTAGAGGACATAGGAGGACAACAGCACAGTAAAGCAGATATTCAAAATGATTTCCTTGAATCTCTGAGAACAAGTTAAATCACATTTGATATATTCAGCATAAGAAGGCACAGGAAAGCACACTTTTTTAAAAAAGTTTAATGATAAAATGATTAAAAGGGTATATAATGCTTAAAAAGGAAATCATTAGTTATTTGAATAATTCTCTTACAAGGAATATCTCATTTTCCAACAATGGAAAAGTCTAACACTAACATAAAGTATACACTAAGGAATTGTTTTAGGGATGAAACAATCTTAATTAACAAGGTCTTGTATCCCTTTAGTAATGTCAAAGCTCTAAGATAAACCTTTTATATAGAATGCTCTAGAAAGAATGATATTGTTGCATAGCTATATACTATACTGTGATAAGATTTCAGTATACTTACTTGCTAATATAGAAATGCAAATCTTTCATCTCTTTCACTGAGTGCTTCTTTCCTACTGCCTTAAAATGGGATCGAGTCCTTAATGTCTTATTAATATATATCACTTAATTGGCGCCATCTCCTAATGTCCCTATTTAGTTTATGGCATGAAATTTCTCCTTGTCCTCTAAATGTGAATATCACCTCTGACACTTATTTCTCCTTTCCCTTTCTTCTCACAGGCAATCAGTTACCAAGTCTTGTTGCTTCTTTCTTCATAATACCTCTGAAGTTCATATCATCCTTCCACCTGCTGCTCCTAGGCTTAAGCCACTGAAATCACCTCCTAACCAGACTTCCTACCTTCAAATTCTTTTTACTCTAAAAATCCCATACACCGCCAACACGTTAATCTCCCTAAAACCTTCAGCATGGCTGGCGAAGAACAGTAAAAGCAGTTGCATTTAACCAAGTAGCCACTATGTATACCATATGTTATACTACGTATTTGACATATGTCATCTCATCTAATCTTCACGTTCCTGTGAGCTAGGTATTATAATTCCCATTTCACAGACAGGGACACTAAGAGGTGAAGACATTAAACTTTCCTAAGGTCACAAAACTAGTAAGTAGCAAAGTACAGGTCTGTCCCCAGGTCCATCTTTCTCCAAAGCCTAAATGCATCTCAGGTGTCAGCAAACTTTTTCTGTAGAGGGCTAGATAATAAATATTTTAGGCTCTGTGGGCCACAGGATCTCTGTCACATCCACTCAATTCTGCCACTGTAGCACGAAACTAGCCATAGTATGGCTGTGTTCCAATAAAACCTGATTTATAAAAACAGATGACAGGCTAGATTTGGCCCATGTCTATCTCATAATGTCCATCCCTGTGCTATCTCGTAATGCATAATCTCTGATTAGTAACAACTTTTGTATTTTAGGCTTATCAGTTTTAAAACTGGCAGAACAATACTTGTTTGCAAAATGACTTGAAAGCAATGATAGCAGATCTTGTGCACAGAACTTAGATCTATTGAAAAATTAAAGAATTTGGAAACTATCATTATGTTTTTATTAAGTATTCAGCAACCCAGAGACCATTACTCTTAGTGGGCTTCACCACATTTATGGTTTGGGTACTATTCTTTCCAACTTAATCTTAACCCCCAGAGGTTGGCCAGTTACTAACAGTTTGATGTGTATGGTCCTAGACACTATGTGTACATGTAGTTTTTTGTTTTTGTTTTTATAAAAGTTGTTCTACAAATTCTTTTTTTAAAAAAAACAAAACCTTAATACACCATGGACATCTTTCTGGAGTATAGATCTCTCTCTTTCACAGCTGCATAGTGTTTCATTGTATGACTATATCATAGTTTTTTTGTGTGTGTGTGAGGAAGATTGGCCCTGAGATAACATCTGCCAATCCTCCTCTTTTTGCTGAGGAAGACTGGCCCTGTGCTAACATCCATGCCCATCTTCCTCTACTTTATATGGGACACCGCCACAGCATGGCTTGACAAGCAGTGCACCGGTGCGCGCCCGGGATCCAAACCAGCGAACCCTGGGCCACCGCAGTGGAGCGTGCGCACTTAACCACCTGTGCCACCGGGCTGGCCCCTATCATAGTTTATATATCCATTACCCTGAGAAGCATCTAAATTTCTTTCAATTTTACATGCTGAGTTTTAAAAGTTACTTGAGGGCCGGCCCCATGGCTTAGCGGTTAAGCGCGTGCTCCGCTGCTGGCGGCCCGGGTTCGGATCCTGGGCGTGCACCAATGCACCGCTTCTCCAGCCATGCTGAGGCCGCGTCCCACATACAGCAACTAGAAGGATGTGCAGCTATGACATACAACTATCTACTGGGGCTTAGGGGGAAATAAATAAATAAATAAATAAATAATTATAAAAAATAAATAAAAGTTACTTGACTGTAAATGTTTCATAAATTACTTCATTCAAACAGTCACATTTCTGAGGGTCCCACAAACATGACCCACATATTTGGTTATTTGCTAGAAGGACTCACAGGACTCAGCATGACCACAGTTATGATTTAACACAGCAAGGATACACAGCCAGGATCAGTAAAGGAAAAAGATGTAGGTGGAGTCTGGAGAAATCCATGTACAGGCTTCCTATGCTCTCCCCTCCCAATCCAGGAAGAGATACACCTAGAGTACTCCTTTCTCTAGCAGTGGAAATACAGCCAACTTGTGCAACGCTTCTGCCCCAGGAAGCCCATTTGAGGCAGAGTTTAGGGTTTTTATTGAGGGCTGCTCATGTTGGCACTCTCTGCCTAGCAACTACCAAATTCCAGACTCCCAGAAGGAAAGCAGGTATTCATCATAGATCTACTGTTTGTATAGTCTAGGCAGAGTGAAACACCTGCATCACTTAGGGAACTTTTCATATTAGCAGAGGGAACTTTCTGCAAGCCATGTTCCTATATGCCAACCTTGTAAGCAGGCCCTTCTAAAGACAGCAGCCACAGGTCTGCTTTGTTAACTGTTTTCTGTACCATCTTTCTTCCCTCTGGAGCATCAAGTCTTAGAAAGGAAAACTATAATACTTCTGAATTTCAAAGCAGAAATCAGAATGTGAAGGTAGTCTTAAGAATGGAGGAAAAGCATTTTAAAAGCAATATCACACTAGAGCTTCCAAGACAGGATTTTTCACTGAATGAGCCAGTGCCACACTGGCTGATTCCTCTTTGCTCATACATACTCTTCTCTTTGATACAGAGTTCTTTTTTTCTTTGTCTGCCTGGCAAATTCCTATCCATTCTTCAAATCCATTCTTTGACCCCCTCCAGAGTTAAACAGTTACTCTTGTGCTCTTGTTACACTCATCATACCCTATTGTCATTCAGGTGTTTACTTATATCTTTCCCACACAACTCTGAGTCCCCTGATGGCATAAATTTTCTGTCTCGTCTTTGTACTCCTAAAGCCAAGTACAGAGATGCTTAATTTAGTATCAATAGAGAATAAATGAATGGTAGGGATATGCCATATGATACATCAGAGTCTCTTTAAAAAACTATTTGAAACAATTTAACAGTAGCGTTAAGGTCATATACTAAATAAATAATAATAAAAAAGGAACCTATCTTTTAAGATGGAATTAATTATGGTAGGATTAACAACAAAATCTAATATCACATCTTTCATATAAGGAATTTTTAGTGATCAATGTGATATATATTTTCTAAATCTCATTTCATAAAAGCAAAATAAGGTCTAAAGATCAAACAATGTAAAAAGGAACACAACGTAAGAGTAACTACAAAACAAAATACAATAAGACATCAATGAGTTCAAAAAACCACTAAATCAATCACGGTGATCCAGAGGCACTGGAGTCTCTATGTGAAAGAAATCTATTCAAATAATTATTGATTTGATTTTTTTTTTTTTTT